GCGGAACCCTCACTTTACCAAACTGCCATTAGGGATTGTAGGAAGAATGAAGATTGATTTGACCCGACAAGTTCTAGTAGTCATAATACTTAAGACTCTCCTAATTGACTGGAAAATCAAAATTCCAATGGAAAAGATGGGTTACAAACAAATACAAAATGTTCATAGGCCACAAATCTGTAACCATAAAGGATGACTTCAAATCTACCAAGTTTAATGGATTTAGTATTGGGAAGCATATTTTTTAAAGCTTAAGTCAGAAGCTTAAATGGGTGTAAAAGGCCGAATTCAACATGCCTAAAAAAAGCCAGATTGATGGTAGCTCCGTCTACTCAATACACCATAAGAAATGACGTAGTAGAAACCCCCCATTTCAACAACCTGAGGAAGAAGAATTGTCAAATTTTAGCTCACCAAATCTAACAAGCTCAAGTGACTCAGATTGAAGTCTCTTCAAGTGGTTAAGGACCAGGATGCTACCTATATTTGGTACTATCATCCAAATCCAAAACCTACATATTTTCCATTAAGTCTATCACACAAAGCACGGGACTAAAAAAAGCTAAAATCCCTAGAATTTAAGCTAAAACTATAACCACTAACTATATCCATTGACTAGGGAAAAACGCTCGTAACTATCCTAAACAACTGGGAAATTTTAAATATTTATTTGGATCTACATCATGCTACGTGTCAAGATCCCCAAATAAATATTTAAAAATGCTTACTATAACTCAAGATAACTCTAAAATGCATCTCAAAGTACAAAGATGGGGATACGTGAGAAGAGGTAAGCTTGTAAGCTCTCCAGTTATCTAGTAACATCGGTCAAGGTTTGAAACTCTAACTAAGTAGTCTGAATCTCATTCACATCCCGTGTTAGTGAAGATTCGCTTGCCACCATCTTCTTATGTAAAGCATGATGGCACTACTCCTCCCTCCTGATGAGGCAATCACGTCAGTCTTGCCCCTCCAGTAAGTGAAACCTATAGGAAATCACCTGTCTAACGTCCCTCTAAAGGTATTGCATCCGAGTTATCAGTCTGTCTAACTCATGGGTCATATTGGAAGAGCTCTGAAGGTGCCTCCTCAAGTCCTCTACACTACTTTCAAAATGGTCATGAAAATCATCAGCCATCTCTCATCTTCTGGCAACCCTCTTCTCTAACTCTGAAAGTATATATCTGGTCTGTAAGATAGAAAGGGACCTCAATCTTTAAATGAAGGACTCCACCTTACGACACATTGACTCCCAAAAAAGTAGCTCAGTAGTGTTCACCCCAAAACTAGAAAGCAAGCCAAGGAACTGGTTAGTAGAAGGAACAAACTTGATATAAGACTCCAGAGATATTGGATCAATAATGAAAATTAGATCCCTCAAAAGCTCTGTAGTGTACCTGCACCTATCAGCACTCCTCAAATCTAGGGGTAGGGAACATGGCAAGGGATCTCTGAAGTGTAATAGACACCGTCAGATATTGCATAAAGAATCACAAGTAATCAATATGATAGTAGATAATATTATAATGCATTAGGATGAATTAACTTAAGATAAATATGTACATATCGGAGGGCTCATAGAGCCAATTAAGTAACTGACATGAACCAAAGAAGGGCATGTAAAGTCAACTGGGTGGCCCTCAGGGAAGAAAGAAAACTCCATGGGCACCAAGTCTAATACTGCCCGTGTATGCAATGGTTCTCCAAGGAGATCTCAAAGTAAGCATGTGCTGTCCCCTAAAGACTCCCCAAGAGAACCATTAATGATTACTTCTCTTTTCCAGTGTACCCTTACGGGCCTTTTTGGTGCATATGCTTTTGTGTGTAACATTTGGAGCTCTAATCATAGAAGAAATAATATGCCCGGTAGTAGTATGGGCCTCGGTGTCTGTCCCTATAAAAAAAATAAAGCAATTGATATCCAACTAGATTAATTACTAACAAAAATAATTGGGTAAAAAAAAAAGTATCTCTATCAGTGGTAACCTCTTAAAAGCCTCTATGGGACCTATGTCCCCTCGATACTCCAAGCTCTCATAATCCACGCTCGTACCTCCTATCATTGTGCTCCAAAATAGGTTCAAAAAACTGTCGTACCCATAACAATCGTGCGTAGTTAATTCCTGTGTGAGTGGACAACTAAGCAATAAGAAAAGTAGCACCTGTGTCAAGCCTCAGTAAGCGTAGTCAAGTTAGTGCTGCTGCACATAAATGGGTCTCCTGCGGAACAATCTCCATGCACTATATATCTGCAACCTCGAGAATAAGTGGCTACTCGTCGTAGGCTGTGGCCTAGAATAACCCAAACTATCTAGTTACTTGGTTGGGATGGTAGCCTTCCAAAGTCACTATAGTGCTTGCTCTGTAATATAACCAGTCCGGGCGCATGTTGATAAAGTACTCAGCAATAGGTAAACTCTCTCTTCTCTGTAATAAAGTGCGCCTCCCTCTACGGTCGACCCCATCTATCATAATGATGCCTCTCTAGTGAGGTTGTAAACCAAAAACATTTGACCGGTGAACTAAAGAGAGCTGATTTGAAACTAATTGTAGGGCAAAGAAATTGAGATGGATCCTCTTTGACTCAAAGGTAGAAGATATCTGAGACAACTAAAGGACTGTAGGGTACCCTCTCTGAAGAAAGGTTGCAAGAGTCTCTAAGCATGAGAAAGTACCCCAAATGTTTAAGTGGACCCACGCGTACAAAAACTATTACAGTGTGTCCCGCACCTCGAGGGAACTTGCCTTAGAATTGGTGCATAGAACTATATAAACTCTAGCAAGTACAGTTGGAGCTAGTGAGAGTCTATATCCCTACGCTAACTTATTGGATGTCAATAAAACACTACACCTTAAAGAGCCTATCCGGAGTGGGAGTATGAAGGTACTAAGCTAGAGTGCTAAGAAGCCCTTAAAAAATAAATCCTCTCGAATCCTTACAAAAGCTGAAGAAGTGTAACCAGCGGAAGAAAAAGGATCCGGGTCTCCTTTGAAAACGAAGTACTGCGGTGCAAACCAAAATCAAATGGGTTGTGCAGCGTCACTATGACTAGAGAAAGGTACCTCTTCTATAAAAAATTATGGATCCAGATATCCACAACCATCGAAGCCCTAGCACGCCTTGACAAATTTGAAGCTCTGTAAGTTTGATGGTAGTGTTGTATAACTCTGGGTTAAATCTTTGGAAGTAGTAATCTACCTCTCCTATCATTGTCCATCAAAGGGACCTAATGAAACAAATGCTCCTCTGTAGGTATGCACTCCTCAAAGAGGTAATAAAAAACTAACAGTCCTGACCTTATCTGAAGGTTTGAAAGAGTGATCTTGAGCTCTTTTGCCTCGATGTAATATGTATATTTGCTTGAAACCTAAAACTCTACCAAACTATATGCCCAAGAAGGAGGAAGAGGGCCGTAGTAAAATAATAAAGCGTACACTGCTTCGTAGATCCTTGCCGCCTTTAGTGTATCCTTGTGCGCTTACAAAATATAGCAGGTCTAATAATGTAGCCACTAACTGGACTCTGAACCTACCCATGACCACTCCAAAGGTGTAGACTATAGCTGACGGTGGCTCAGCAGAATTGACTGCCTAATTGGCTCAACTGTATCTACGGCAGACACTAAAACATCATAGGTATCCTAGTCGACCTGGACAACTTCAAGCTCGAGAGGGTGGTACTCCCCACATTATAATATAAAGTTAGTGACCCAGCTGTTAGGGTCATAAGAAATAACAGAGTCCTCAGAAAGCTCTATAAGTAAGGGGGAGCGAGTAAAGAAGCTGTGAAAGGTGTCTCGCTCCTACAGCATGTCCTGGCGCTGCTCTATTTTATCTTAAATATCAACACTACTCTAGGGATCCTATTTTTCCATCACATCCCAGATGGCAGCCTCACTAAGCTCACATGTGGAAGATCATCGGGTCTCTGCCAACGAAACATCTCATGCACAATGAGAGAATGGAAATGCATTAAAAAGTTGTTATTAATAATTGCGTATGCTAAAAAAAAAAGATACTAAAAGTTGTAAACTAACTCACAACAAACATGATGCATTCTGGATGCATACCATATTTGTTAGGGGACATATGTTGACCCCTACAACTCAAATTATGCACAAAAATATGAAAATGACGAATTAAGTAGCGCGTGGGTTGGCGCAATGCACCACTTAAAGGGTTAGATGACCTCCGAATGCCAAATGGATAGCGGCATTGTGATCAAAACATTGAATTTTACTAAGTCGAGGCCCATCATAGTTGAATCAGATGAGGTCGATCAAAAGGGGTGACTGACATCCAAAATTAAAGCACAACTCTAATCAAAAGATGTAGGATCCACAAACAGACATTGCCATTGTGTCCGGAAAATCATCAATACTTTAAATACACTACAAATTTGTTCAATTAAGGTGGCACATGCAAATCTAGGCAGTCTCAAAGTGACTACACATATTTCGAGAAAATTAGTCTCAACATTGCTTAAATAATGTCCGATCGTGAAACTGACTGTATCATTACGACCATAACATCGGCAATACTCTTAATGCACTATTAATTTGTTTAATATCGATATTTGACAAATTTGATATGTTAAACGAGACAGTTAACAAATTAAAAAAAACATAAATAAGAGCGATTTTGACTTGGCTTATGTGGTCTGACCACCTTAAATTAATGCACTGGATGATATTTCATACTTATGGAAATTAACTCACAAAAAAAATTCAGATGCCCAATTATGGGAAAGTTAAATTAATGTCATTAAATACATTACCTATTTCATCTCAAATCCTTTTGCTGTGTCAGTCAAGCTTCGATCGTTCCATTTCCTCGTCACTCCGGCTTCGACACAACTGGCTTTACCTCGTCATTAAATTAAAACAAATACGAGTAAAAGGGCTCTTCTTCCTCTTCTACAAAGAAGACACTCCAGAGCTTCAACACGTCAACGAACCTCCCTTCAAACCACCTTATAAACTGCAAATCTCTTGAACCCGTCAAGAGATTTCAGTAGCCGGATCCCACTTCCAACCAAAGCATTCTAACTCCACATAGCAATAAGCATTGCCTTCTTCGACCAAATACAGTCGAAATCTTCCGAAATCCCAAGCCACAGCTTCCGACGGCCTAATCTCACGCCCACTTCGCCACCAAGCATTTAGACCTGCTGGATGTAGCCTTCTGAGCGTCCTATACCTGCTGCAGATCAAATACAAATGTTTTCACAACCTGCAGAGCTGTAAGCATCAAAACCAGCCATTGATTTTTACACTTACACGCCAAGCTGCACTTCCACTCGATCCAAACAAAATACCTACTTTGAATGCCCAGCCTATCTTTCCTTCTCCTCACACCCACACCTGCTCCACCATAAGCCGCAAATCTCTGAACTCCTCCTCCCCAAACTAGCTCCAACACCCTACGTCGATCCCTCACAGTCGAGCTCTTTCCAACTCACAAGTTGTCGGACCCCTGCTCCTTACGATCTCCTCAAATAGTAACCCGTCTCTCCACAGCTAGAACAAGAGTCCAAAACCTCTTTAACTCCATGTGACCTGCTCTTCCCAAATAATTCCCTTAGCTGTTGAAACAAAATCTCACATGTTCACCTAAGCTTCTTCACGTAAGAAGCTAATTTTTTTTACAAAGAATAATGCAGCCATCTCTTGTCCTTATATGCATTGGAGTTTTTCTAGCATCTTCACCCACAAACCAATTACTCCAGCAGCCCACTCAACCGCAGCATGTGACTTCTTCTAAGCATCTCTATGTTCAATTCCATTTTTTTTTTATCCTTCATAAGGAATCCTAGAATGACAACTCTTGTACCTAACTACTATTATTTCTGCAAGATCATATCTACTTTAATTCTAGGCCCTTTGTTCCCTTTTCTTCATTGTCCAACTCCACATAAACATCAAGATATAAACTCCTCAACTATTCTTCCAACGCCATCTAAGGCCTAATATCAAGCTCAAGCAACCAGCCCAACTTCTCCTAAAAATAACTCAACATGAACCTGAGCTCATTTCTCAGAAATGCCCAACAATCTCACTTAAAAGCCCATCTAAATCCTGTTAGAATAATTAAATATATTAATTATGCGAGACGTCGCAATAATTATTTAAGAATAGATATTTAATTATATAAACTATTATGTGGCCCATATATTTGAATTATTACAATTTAATTATTTATGTTTAAATCCTATTGGTCAAGAAAAGATAATTTGATCATTCGTTTATGGACCGTTTGATCAAATAACTCCTATGAGCGGTTATTATAAAATAACTCCTTTGAGTTATTATAAAATAACTCCTATGAGTTATTGTAAAATAACTCATATGAACGTTTATTGTAAAATAACTCCTATGAGTTATTTTATGAGTTATTATAAAATAACTCTCATGAGGGGTTATTATGAAAAATCCGTAGGAAATAACTATTGGTCCTCTCTCTCTCTCATAAGGAGTTATCTTGCTCCATAGATGATTAACTCATGATAGAAGAAAGTGAAGGGAGAAGGGAGAGAAACCATAGTTCGAAATTCGACGAATTCAAAATGAATCAAGATATGTTTTTCTTCCGATTAAAGATTGTGAAAATCATCTTGTTTAAGATCTTGAGGATTTAAGACTTATGTAAAATCAAGTTTTTTCGTTTCGAATTCTTTTACATAAATTATGATGCGAGTTCTTGTAAGAGTTAGAGAACTCTATGAAGTCTTACAAATCCATGCTAAACATCTACGTAAATGGTGAGTTCAATTCTTCAAATCAACATAGAAAGCCTAAACCAACCCATTCAGTACCTTTCTCTTGACTTATACAACCACGAGCAGCCCACTCTCAACCCCAAATCAGTCCACTATAGCCCATTGACACCCTTTCACTATCTCAACTCTCCAACAACAAACAGCAGATAATTTCTCCTCTGACAACACTTGTTCCCCTCCTATGCCTTAGCCCAACAACAAGTTATCCCATTTCAAAATCCTACTAACTTAGAGCCAATATAACACTCTACATATAGCCCATTTCTATGTTTTTCTACAGCTCACCTATCTACCACTTTACAACCAAATCCAAACAGCGCATCTCTTATAATCATCAAAGTCTAAATCCACTAAACAGAACATCAACAAGTTCCCTCTTCTTTATTTCGTCCAATCATTTTTTTTTACACCTCAAAGCAATCCCTCTTCATTGCAAATCTGTATAGTAAATTATTTTATTCTTTTCATTTACTTTATTTTATTTTGTTTGTTATTTGTTATGATCTTAATTAATAGTACTAATTAACATCATTAGTCATGAGTATGGGATCTTTCATTTGCTAGTATTATTTCAGAAGAAAATAAAAAAAGTGAAAAAAAGTGAGAGAGTTAAAAAAAAAAGAAAGAAAAAAGAAGTTAAAAGAAAGAGTGAAAAGAATTTTTTTAATTATTATTTTATATTTTTATTTCATCCTCGGCATCGGTGGCATCCCCGCAAAGCTATAATTCCTAAAATAAAAATCTTGCTCTCGGTGTTAGTGGTGCATCGAAAAACCGCTAATACATACTTTTCTCTAGTGTGGTGTGAAGAGAATTCGATGCAACGCCTACGGTGAGGCGAGAAAATCCTGTCAAGCTTTTCTCTACTGTGGTGGGGACTGTTGCAGTCCATGACCTCTAGCCTAAGATTTTTGATGATAACAAATAATATCGATTGAATTATCTCATTATTCATTGAATATTTTTAATGTTGCTCTTATCTGTGGGTATTAACATTTATTTTTTATTTTTCTTTTCTTGAGTTTGGCCACAAAAAAGGAGTACACAAACTGAGCAACCATGCACACAGATAGGGGGAGAGTTTTTTGTTGAGGGAATTTTTTTTATTCTTTGTATATCGTACTATATGATTTTCAATCGTATTATACGAACTACTGTGGCTCAACGGCTATTCTCTGTGAATTAATCGTACGTACAATTTGTTTTTAGTTTGAAAACCTAACAACCAGATTAATTTAAGTAAGTTTTTAAATCTTGAATTTTGAACTGATCGTACTATATGATCAAATCGTACATCACGAATATTTGAATAATTGCTTAAATTAACCCCGTGATTAGTCAATTAAATCAAGGCTTAATTACTGATTGGTGATCATACTGTACGACCTAGTTCATATCATATGATGAACTGAGATTATTTTCGGTTATCCCAAAGATTGTACCGAACGATCCCTTGATTTTTGAACTAATCGTATTGGACATTGTATAAATCATACCAAACAAGCTGAAGATTTTAACAGATAATATTGTACGAATTAGGTCATACCAGGCGATGAATAAAGACAAATTTTGGTCGTCTAACATTCGTCCTATATGAACAGAAGAAATATATCATATCGTATGGGACGATATTTGTATCGTACTGTACGATATAGTTCAAAAATATTGCCTGTTTGTACTCGTTCGTACCAGGATGGAAGCTATTTTAACTGAACGTACTATATGATCTTGGATCATTCTATACAAATAGAAATGGCTAAATTACAAAACTTAGGCTTTCTTGGAGCCTGATATATATGTGATACTTTTATCTTTTGAAAAAAAAAGGAACATGACAAAATGGGGAACTCTTGAGATGGAGGTACTTGATGAGATTTTTGGGTTTGTGAGAGGAAGGAGAAGGTGAGTTTGTGAGGGAGAAGGAGTGCGAGGGGATAACACGGTTGCTCCAAGCTTATTGCACGCTTGCTCCAAGCTTGTTGCACACTTTCTCCTCCTATTGCCCGAGAAAATCTTGTGGGAGCTCTCTAAGTGGGAGAGCCTTCAAGGTCAGTGTCCACAAAGGTACTCTGCCTTCTCCAGAAGTGAGAAAAATAAGAAGGTTCGCTGCCGTCATCGGGAGGGTGACATAGCGGTTGGTACTCCGCCACACCGGGGAAGGTGAAAGTGAGGTTGTGTAAAGGCTTCTCTGCCTTGCTGTGGGCGAAGAAGGAGAATTACTTTTGAGTAGTGAAATTTTCAGAGTGGAGGACTCTAGGGAGTGGACGTAGGTCAAGTGACCGAACCACTATTAATCTTATGGTTTGCTTTTTCCATTTAATGTACTTTACTTACTTTTTGCATCTTACAGTTGCTATAACTGCCTGGTGAAACTTCTATTCTAAATCTTTGTTGTGTGATTTAAAATTTCATCACTTATATTGCAATCATGTTTTAATAACTAGCTTCCATTTTAAGTTATGTTAAAAAAATGATTAAAAAAATAATTTTAGAACTCATGTTTAGGATTGGTTCTTTATTTCAAAATTTTCAATTCACCCCCTCTTAGCGCATCTTGTACTTTCAGGGACAAATATAAAAACTGTATTTTTTTAACAAGTGCCCGAGGACCCATACACGCCTTTCTCTAGCATGATGGGATTGAAGATTTTTTGGTCGCAGTGTCACCCGACACCTATCGTACATGCTTTTCTCTAGCATGATGGGAGGCTCAATTTTATATAATTTCCCCTAAATAAGGGAGACACCGGGAGGCTACCAAAAGTTCTAGTGGATAAGGGACCTAATTTGGACAAATTTTGAACAATTTGAACTTGAGCTCAGACTTGAATTTGATTAAATAAATGGAGTTTAACTCAATTTAAATATTAATCAAAATTGAAAACATTGAATCCAAACTTGAATTGAACATTAAGCCAACATGAGTTGAACATTTGAACTCAAGCCAAGACTTGAGTTGAACCTCAGGGGACTTGGACAAATATTTGGACAGCTTGAACTTGAACATTTGAACTTAAGCTAAAACTTGATTTAGACCAAAGGGGACTTGGACTTGATTTGAATATTAAATGAATGGAACTTGAAAAAAACTCAAAATCAGATGAATTGCAATGAACTTAATGTGAGCAAACAAGAATGCAAATGAGCTTTAAAGAACTTGAATTTGAATGAAGCATTTGAGCGGAACCAGACTTTGGTTTTAATAAATGAGTAATCAAAATTATATGCTCAATGAATGAGTCCTAATGGGTTAGGAAGCTCCTACATCCCTAACATCAACAACGATTCAACTCCATGAAAACACATCAATCCCCTACAAGCAGAAGGGTTCAACGACATTATCAAAAACCCATTCCACTTAAAACATGTCAGTTGCAACCAAAAGGATTTGACATGCAGCAAAGAATAACGTTAATATACA